GTCAAAGTTCGAAGGCTTACATTCCATTCAAAGTCAGAGAAGTCGCCTCTGATATGGCAATTATTACATGATATGATAAAATAAGAATCGATAAAGAGCCTTGCAGGACGTGTTCTACTCAGGTGGGACAGGTGGCGCAGGTAGCAGCGGTAGCTCGGTTTCCATCCAGCAATATTCACTCAACGACGGCAACTGTCAGTACGAAGTGAGTCTGCCTGGTCGTTCTACACATCAGTCTTAATCATCAGAGATAATACAAGTTTAGGACGGATTTATCATTGAAAATGGAGTACGGCGGCAAGCTACGGCTCAAGAAGTCGACCGCATTTCGCAGTACAAGCAATCGCTTAATGACTACATGAAGCAGGTTAATGGATATGTGAGTTTTACCTAGATTCCTTTCATTATGTACCCTAAATCTCAATGAGAATGAGATGAGCTTACTGAACTAGAGCAAAGCTTTTAGGAGGCAACATCCACAATAAGTTCTGTAAAATTCGACCAACTTCTAAGATCGCTTTTTTGTTTCTTTTCCTCTATAACTCTTATCTATCTTCTATGTTTTTCCTTGTTGCAACGACAAAATTACTCACAGATGGACTTGTATAGCTTCAAATATCTCAAAGTACCTGATTCATTAGAATTTTTCTGGAAGCTTTACATATACGTTTCAGCATGGTCAAGCACGAGAAGATACTTCAGGTTAGGAATATTTAAGTGAGGAGCACAGTTTACAGTGAGAGTTAAGTTGAAAAAACAGAAAGAAGCTTGTGGTTGAGGAATTCGAAGTTGAGAATCTCAGAGTTGTTGATGACTAACGGCGAGTGACCTTTTCAAGAACAAGGTTATGTATTTTCTTTATGCGTGAAAACATGGTCGTTTTACTTTACAAACTCAAAAGTTTAGCTAAAATTATAATATATGTAGTGTTCTCCTAATATCCTTTCATGTTCTGCTTTAAAATCATTAAGCTTCGTTCGCTTATTATAGCACAATCTCAAGTCCATTACGGTCATTGAGCATTGTTTTAACTGCAGCTTCACGGTTTCTAGGTTGGTGACTGGGTCAGCAACATGTTCAAAAACCTTCCATTCAATTTGGGTCAAAGCTTCCCGCGAATGCCAGACATGCCACCAATGCCTGAAGTATGAAACACCAAATTATTACCGTTTAAAAATTATGTTTGTATTTTTTCTAGCCACCCTGTCTCTGCAGCGCAGAAACTTGTGCCCAAATTCAACAACAGCGAGATGCTATTCAACGGCAGCGAGATGCTATACAACAACAGATGCAATCCGTATTCGGATCGGGATCGCAGATCGGCCAACAATCAAGCCAATATGTATCTGGAGCGTCCTACGGTAGCACGTCTCAGTACCAGCAGTCGCAAATGCAGACACAACAATATCAACAAGGAGGGGTCACTCAAGGTTATCGCCGAAGCAAGAAGTAATTTGCGACGAAAAAGTTGAAATCTTTCATAAGAAGTGCTTTTTAACAGTATTATTTTTCTTGATATATAGACAGTCTGTAGTAGAGAATAAAGTTTAAAAAATGTCCACATGGCGGTTAGGCTTGTCAGTGGTATGCCTTCAGTCATCCCTATTCCAAAAATGAAAATTTAGAATCCCTATTCAATGCAGATGTTCTTACGCTCACTTGAGTTCCTCGCTACTTCGGGTTTCATGCACCTATCAGCATTCGCAATTTTGGAATATTTGAATTGTTCATTAGATGTTCATCCTTGGGTTACCTTATCTGCTTTGATTTCTATGAGTGGGGTTGATATCCAGATCTACGCGGACAATATTAAACTGTATTCATCTTATGATGAATAAGATTCCTATGATATGCATCAATAGTTGCAAGCAGCTTTAGATAAGTTGAATGTGTGAGCTTTATCTAATGGTCTTTTTTTGAATCTAAGTAAAGTTCGTTTTTGCATTTAGGTAAAAATTGTCCACATAAGTATGAAATCAATGGGACAGATTTGTCGGCGTGCCCACTAGTCAGGGATTTGAGCGTTTTTGTTGATTCTCACTTAGATTTTTCCAAACATATTG